TCATATGTCCGATCATAACAGAGACAATAAAAGCAAAACTAATGATATTGTCATTTGATTAAACTATAAAGTATTGCCGAAGATATGTTTTTCATTTATAAGTTGGCCATGAACCTAGTATTGACGCAGAATGCTATGAGAAATGGTATCAAAAACATAATATTTCTCAACATTTTATAGCTGATTATTATACGAAATGGACACAGAAACTATTACAGATTTTAATTTCTCATCATTGCAAAGGCTGATAAAAATCTAAACCTATTTTATGATGGTAATTGTTATATATTTGAACATTTATTTTTCACCTTGATTCAGATTTCTTTGATTATACTTGAAACCAGTCCGATCTATTGATATAACTGTTTAACTACAAGCAGTGTTGAGTTTCTGTAGAGAAAACAAACTTTCTTGGTTTCCTTATTAAGGGTCAACCAGTGACCTTTTTATGGGGTTTCAAGCCTTTACTATCTGTTAAAGGAAGTCAGCGCAATCACTTAAAGCATGTAGAGGGAAACAATTTAATTCTCAACTTAAAACAAATTTGCTATCTCATTAAAGTCTAAAAATAAAGACTTCAACCAACCATCATTATTAGCTTATGGCAACAAAACAAATCTGACAACAATAAAAAAAATAAAAAACAATCAGTGTTACAAATTAATTTTGTAAATTTAAAAAACTTAAAATTGTAATAATATTTAGGATTATGTAAAATGAAATAGATGATTCAGCTTTGTTGCAGCTAGCTCGTAATCTTGGAACATGATACACATCTATTAAGCTCAAGGCTGGCCATGTCAAAATCTATTATCAAACTGAAAAAAAATGATAAAGGGAAAATGAGGAATCAATTCCCCAAAGCCTCGAAAATATTAATAGCGTCCAAAGACCTGTATTAATCTGGCCTTTCCCCAGGGCTAAACAAAGGCAGTGTGTCTAACCCAATCACTCTCTTGTTAGCCATTTTCATATTTTCAACAACGTCACAATTCTCAGCAGAACAGCCATTAAGACATGCCAGATTCATCAAACAGCAAATGCCAAACTTTTCAGATTTCCACATTTCCAAACAGCTGTTTGGGAGGATCTCTCGTGTAAGTCAAAGAGATACAACACTTATCATATGGTATAGGTATTCACAACTGGAAATCTTTTTCCAAACTCCTACCAAACCAGTCTCCATTTTGAAAACACTTTTCATGTCATAACCATTCAAATTATTTCTTTCAAGGCACACACTATATTTCTAAAAGAAGAACATGTTTTCAAACATTAATTTTAAACAGTTATGAATAGTAAGCCATATCACAAAACATTAGTTCAATGTCTACCCCAGTGCTATCTCAACCTTTTGTCTCAAATGCATGTCTTTTCATTTCATGACCACCAATTTCTGGCTATCCGTTGGTGAAAAAACAATTACCTGAGAAAGACATGAATGTATTTATCAAAGAAAAGAACTGATTAATATAAATTAAGATTAAAATAACCTGCAGCTGCAGACCTGTTTTGATTACAATCCATCAATAATTTATTGTCGATGCAAACTGATCATGTGCCGATCCTGGCACACCTGTGTGGAACATAACCAAGACCCATATCTTAATCAAAGATCAGAATGATAATTCCTTTTCAAGAATCATGTTATAGAGCATCAATTTTATAACAAGGGAGAAATATATTATGAATGATTCAATGTAATGCTGATTAATTTTCATTATGAACTTTATGAGAAATAGAAAGAGCTTTAATAAATTATGATATTAGTTTGGGTAAATATCTAATCTTCAGCATGAATTTAATAAAGATTATGTAGATATCACCTTCAGTTTGGACTTAATTACTTTGAAGCCATGATTTCTGTTTGAAGATAACTTTAATTTGAAGTCATTTCATAAATTTCAAACAAGAAAAAATAGGAGATGTAGATTTAGTCCCTTCTCCAGACTGTTTTTGCATAAAATATTTTTTAATGTGGAAAAGCTGCAGTAAAAAACAACAATCACAAATTGCATCTGCATTTTGTTCATGTGCAAAAGAAATCATTTTATCATGCATTCAGTTTTTAAAGGAAAGAAATATGGCAAAATTGTGATTCATAAACCGATGGGACATTCAGTATTCATGCATTCAGTTTTTAAAGGAAAGAAATATGGCAAAATTGTGATTCATAAACCGATGGGACATTCAGTATCAAAGTATTCGTTCAACCATAGAAAAGGCAAAATCGAAATGTGCTGGAGAAGTTATGACTTATTCTTCAGATGGGTTTTCCAGAATGATAAAACACTAATGACTTTACCATCGGCACCGGAGACCATGAAGGAACACACAAGAACATAGCATCTTTCCACTATGTCCTCTTGGTGCCTGCAGAATCATTATTTTATTTCCACTTGATTCAAATACTTGGTTGTTACTATTTGTTGATATCAAAATAGTACATATTACAATTTATTCGCAAAAAAATAATTCTTATTTCATTAAACAAATTCATACGACATGGTTTTCTCTCAAAAAGTAAATGTCATTTCATGTCAGATTTCAAGAAGTATGATTAATCTATTAGAAAATATATTGTTTCATTTTTTAAACACAACTGATGCTTATTATATTAGAATATAGACATCATCTAAACTTTATGCATGAAATCTAACTGCATGTTTTAGAAAAACCATAAAATATGCCCCATGTTTTTTTAATTGGTGACCTAGGATGTATAAATTTCAAACAACAAAAAAGTATATTTTGTTTAAATGTTTCTGTTACTGCTGGTAGAGTATTTCACCTAATATACTAAACCGAAAATATAAACTGCAATCTGTTCAATGAAACTAGTACTTACATCTACACAATAGACAAATTGGTCCTTAAAATATATATATGTACATGTTTAAAAACACCTGATCATTGAATCAGGTCAAAAAGACAAAAATGAGAGAAAAAACAACACTTATTTATGTAGCATTTAAAAAATGAACTTGTCATGAAATGTTCTGTCAAAAGAAATTTTACAGCCTCGGTTTGTTTCATGACCAAAATACTCGTCCTTTCCTTGGTAACAAAGTCAGGCCGTACCCAGGGTAGCAGGACCGTAGAACACCTTGCCAGGGTACTAGGTATCTATAAATCCGTCAACACGACAAATATCGGTAAAAGTTACAAATAATCATATCATTTAGCAACGGGCACTAGTCGTCGCTCTCTGGGAGTAGCGCGCTGTTCAGGAAAGCTTCTATTGTAGTGGAGTGTCTTATCAGAGTTTGTGTCGAGATAGCTTTGACAGCAGCCGAGTAGTTTTTGTATGGTTTTGTGATAGTAAGGGTCCCCCTTGCTTATGATTTATAATAGCATTTGTTTGAATTGGGAAATATCGTAAGTCTTAAGTTTAGCGCTTTGACATGTCTGCCGCATAGTGATGGTTGCTGATCCGTCCAAAAATGTATCGAGGGCTGAAGCAGCCGCTTGAAGATTTTCCCTGTCATTAAGTTACGTGCGAAAACATAAGCGGAGAGTATTTTCCTAACAGTTACGTTTCTCTCGAAAGCACTGTTTGCACAAGTAATGAAAAGAATTGCCTGTGAGACAAAGGACCTATAGAAAACTATTTGACTTGTTTTAAGAAATGCTTCGTTCCGGCGACTGATTTTCAATAGCCATTATACTATCAGGCACTCTCCCATTATGTTGGGAGCTTATCCACAAATTGTTTTTCGCTGACATGAAAATAGGGTTTTTAACAACTACTCATTACTATTACTATAATTTGAACCTGGTTAAAATGAACACGGCTTGGAAACTGTCTTGATTCACATTTATCAAAAATATCTTGAATATTTACGGATATATTCTAAAGCGTAAAAGAAATGACAAGCCGACCGTCCTGATACTCCCTTGGCGCACCTTATGAAATATAATAAGGCTATTCACAAGTCGACACTAAACAAATTCCACATGCTTTTTTATGAAAAGATCCGTAATGGAGTCTCTGTGTCCTATTCGCTATGAAACAGTCCACTTATTTTAAATAAAATCACCTCTAACGTTATGCCTCGCATGAAATATGACACATTTGTTTGTACAGTTTCGACTCATAAATTAGGAGCGTCAGTTATTTAGTTTCACATATTTGTTCTATTGTACCCAAGACGCAAAAAATGTCATTTGAAATCATACCTGTTCAGGGTGTTATTTACACTAGGCAGGTAAGCCCTGATTGAACACGTATATGCTGTAAAGTCCGGAAGACGCTACGCCCCTCAGATATCCCCCTCTCCATGACACCCCCCCCCCCCAACCCGAATGTAGATACACTACCAATGAGGACGCCTAAGATACTATTGTTGACTTATGTTGACTGAGAAAAGTTTAAGTGAATCCATAGTTAAATTATTTTAAAAGACACTCAAATGTCATTAAAATCCTGACATAAGACAAAACGTGTTATTTAACAACTTCACTCAAATACACCTATCGATATACTTATTCAAAGTATACGTCCACTGAAAACTTTCAAAGTAAATAGAGACTGTATAAAAAAAAGGTTTGAATAATAGTTTGTTTTAGCTGTTTAAAGTATATGTCATAACTGTCAACTGCGACCGATAATCGTCCCTAAGAAGTAAAGATGTAGACTGACAACCGACACATGAAATAGACGAATACACGTCAAAATAGACATCCTTGAAACAATTGTTGCAAACGGTTTAGCACTTGCACTCCTGGGGTAGGAATCGAAGCCAGTTGTCTGCTATGTGCTAAGTAGCGTCCCCCAAGGCAGCCACTTGACAAGATAGACAGACAAAAAAAACACCACTGAAGCAGACGACACAAACTGACAGCGGTTAGATGGCGGGAATTTGAAGCGATGTTGACTCGCAATCAGCTGGGCTACCCAGGTAGTTAAACTTCCAACTCCCGACGAATGCCGATGCACGTGTAGCATTAGACTACATGTTCGCGTTGTATGCAAACAATCGATAAAAAAATCAACTTACCATTTTCAAGGAGAGAGGCTAACTCCAGTTCCGAGTCCAAGTGGCGAGGATTTGACTGTTTCCGACGGGACATAGTTGGCAGTGTCCACCAGACCACTCGATGACAAAACTTGCTCTGTTGTGATATTCCGGTTTATATAGTCGGACCCTTGGTGCGCATGCTCGAATTATGATTATCAACTATCAAATAATGCCCGCTGTAATTATCATAATCAAATTGTAAGAAGACTTTTGATTGGCTTTGATCCTGGTCTCAATTACTAGCCCGCCATGAGCACGACTTGACAGCGGCGAAGCAAATGTAATACTTGAACGGGTTTGCTCCCGTGATAAAGTATTCACGTGCAAATAAAAACATATTGTCTGCTCGGTCCATATCAAAACGTGTTCCGTTCACGCCGAGATCGCTTCCAATGGGGAGAGGGGTGTCTTTGTTACGAAGATAGCCGGGCCACTTTCTTCTGGCGTTACGTAACAGGGGGCAGGGGGCCAGCCCTCTCCTGATTTGTCAGTCTCAGTCCGGACACTGGGCAGTGAGGTCGGGTGGTCACACTGGACGCTCGCACCTCACCGAACAAACTTTTCTTCTGCTCTGGGACTCACCATCCTACTCACATGAGTCATAAGCGACAACTCTGCCTTGTATACAAAGACAGCCGAGCCGAGAGATCTCGGTAACTGAAGCCGCTGTCAAATTGCGAGGAATGTATCCGTCAGAATTATGGAACAATTTATGAGCTCCGTTCGCAGCAAATCGCCTATTCACGCAGGCTGAAGCGGTACGCTTTATTTATGGTAATAATCCCCCTTTGTACATGCCTGATAATTGGAGAGAGTTTGTTCAAATGAAAAACAGCAACATCGCCGTTGTACGAGTCCCTTTCTCGATCGCAGCGTTATTAAAAGTCTGCTGTCTGTTTGTGTGGCTTGGGGGGTCGCGGCTCACTGCAGCTATACCTCTGCTTTTGTTTCTCCGCCACGATGGTGTAGGCTGCTACTAGCGAGCTACCACCCGCCGCATCAATCGTGTCCTCAAAACAAATACACGGATAGAAAGGTCCCGTCTCAATTCCCCTCTCTCATACTGGCTCCCTCCCTCCCTCGCGCTAATGCTGAGCGGGCTGCAAGGTAGGCGATCCCTGCTCGCGTCCCAGCCGTAAGCTTACATGGATTCGCCAATCGCGTTGTATTCAGTACTGAGTGAAAGTGTCAACTCTCCTCTGTCACATCCCGTTCTCCCCAGCCCTGGGATGCTATTGACATAGAGATGGCGACTCAAGGAAGAATTCGTTAAAAAAGCGTTTTTTCGTGACTGATTGATCTTTGCTTTCATGTCGTTTCACCACGGAGGGAAACGTGGTCCGAAATCCCCGGCAATAAACTTTGATAAGGTAAAGATGAAGTTATCTATATTTGTTATCTAAACTTTGAAAAAAAATATCATTAAAATATTAATATCATAAATTTATAACCAAGTTTTGTCGTTCGAATTTTAGCTTCTACGGTTGAATAGGTTTCTATTGTTTTCACTAAAAACGTTTAATGGGAATATCTGTGTGTAGTTAAGGCTGTCAAGACTATGTTAGCGGAAGCTTGCTTCAATGGCTTTTCGTGCAAATAATAGAGAGGCTAACGTGAAGCACCCAATACATGCTACCGATCATGTTTCTATATTTTGCCATAATATTGAAGACTTTAGCGAGTATCGAAGTGTCCCTCGGAGTGTTTAGGTTAGAGCCCCATCATCACGTTGGATTTGTCCAACTCAACCCCGGCCATCTTAAGCACACTGCAAGCCCCAGCTAAAACAAATAGTGGAAAATTTAATGTCAATTTTCTTAGAGGGGCGCCCAGTCAGGGAGCGCCAGGCTTTACTAACCGTCGTTTGAGCACTTCTCGCATGATTAAAGGAGAAATTTTTCTTTCATTTTCCAAAAGGCCAAATTTGTTCTAAGTGTTGGAAGCAGTGGGTCTCGCGGTATGAAATAAGTCAATCGGGATGGGGCATGATTTGTCAATATTTACAAGGTTTCACGTGGCACTTGGAGAAGGTAGCCTATAAAATTGACATTGCTCCAGCTACATTCATTTCATCTCTGTACAAACAATCTAACCTTTGCACGTCAAAACTGTAAGGGACTAAACGCTATCACCAACCCTTGCATGTCGCAATCAAAATGCAAACCACGCATTTGCACTCCGGCGAAAAGACGAAAATCCCGTGTTGTGGAGGCAAGGTGTGTGCCCATTGTCCGACACTAATTACCAAACACATTGAACTGACGTAAACATGGTCACCTACCCGTAACGCTTGCGCCGACGCGGCGACGGTCGTCTTCTGGTGTCCACCCGTCCATCTTGTCCAATATAACCAGCCTTCAAGCAGCAAGGCAGCGCTTCTAAATGCAAGGCGGTGACGATCTTGCTCTCGAGCGGTATACTGAAAGTGACTTCACTTTATTGCGTATCGAACTTGAAGCTTTTACTATGGGGGTCAGGTGAGAAAGGAGGAGAATCTCTTCCAGCAGCCGACACTCTGCATTTGTCCACTTCAGCGTGCTTTGCAAGGTTGAAATTACAGTCTTCACCGTTTCTTGTTTTAAATCGAGACTGTGTTCATTAAAAGCAAGCGGCGTGCACAACAAAGCGACGGTGTCGCCGGCTTAATAAATGCTTTAATTTCTTGCTACACCTTACAAGAAACGCGACGATATTGAAAATTGGACACTGGTTTCAAAATATATTGTTCGTGTGATTGCATTGGTAATTTGGGATTTAAGGGTAAGGGTGGGCGACATATTAACGAAATCCCACAGTAAGCAACAAAAAAAACAAATACACCTCATCGTTAATGTCAAGAGATTAATAATGGAAATATTGACATCAATATTGATCGGTTCAGATATTTTTTTCAAACAATATCATAATACATAATGTTAGATATGTAAATGACTGTAATTTATTTGAAAACAATTTTCATAAAAATACACCTCCACACCTATTCCAAGTCATCTTGAACAATATACAATTACGTCAAATATTCATATCAACAGAAAAATAACATTTGTGTTAGAATTGATGATTGTTGTTTTTAAAACTCGATCATATTCGTAAAATACTCGTTTATTCGGGTTATCTGGTATAAGTTGATCACTTGCAGCAATATCGGTGTAAAGATACAGATTTGAGTCAAGTGAAATTGATTTGACGTCTATCACTCGAGTCGGTGACAAGAGAAGGTGGCAAGGTGATTGCCAAATTGAGCAGTGCTCCGAAGTCTTAGCGTTACCGTAAACCACCTATTTCTATTCTATAAGTGCTTTTGATAATGAAGAAATGGCATTTGTTGAGCTTTTGTTACTTACAACGGGGACGACATTTTATAGCACAATAAAAAGAGGTCATTGGGAAGGAACAGGTAGATAGCTGTAGATTAATGTTGATGTAATTGAAACTTTGGAGTAATATTTATGACATTTTTTGACAATAGGAAAATAATGCCGCGAGCTAGAACGATTTACAGCTTTGGAATCGATGTTTCGAAATACAGAGGTGTTTATAGCATTTGAAATCGATATTGCATTTCGTTGTACGAAATGTTATATGTAGATATTCATTGATATACATTCCATTAGTGATTACGTCATTAATTTAAGCTACATCAAGAAATCCGAACATAGCTTTTTCATTAAAGTATATCTTAAAGCCAAAACGCCTAAAATCATATACTTATTTTATCTAATCTGTATACTTATTCATTAATATTGAATGAAAGCAACTTTTAATTATCCAACTTAAACAGTGTGCTTAGATTCTATTTTGTCGGCTTAATCTGTCGTTCAGCGTATAGCTTCATCCGAATGACATATTTCATAATAATATATTTATGTATAACGCTTAAAGGTCGTGTGAATTTAACAAATAATTACACTCGGGGACCCCAACCAAAGCAAACTTTCTTCACGTCTAAGCCCGACTTTCTTGAAGTTGTACTTTTTATGTACATTCGGTTAAAGGTCATGCACAGACTGACATGATGCGACGGACATTTGGCATAGGTCGTTCATGTTGACACTGCAACCTGCACGTGTCTCTGATCGCGCTACGCCACACCGTTACCACGGCAACAGAAATTGTGACACGGACAGAAAAAAATCGACAAATATATAATTTACCTTGATTTAGTTGCGTTCGTGTTTGTATGGGAATTTAACACGGGTGTAATTTATACAGTAGTTTAAATGCATGGTCATCCATCTAATAGCGCCACAACCATGTGAATAGCTTGTACAATTACATGCATGGGCTTAAGTCGAACACTTGGTGCATGAATACACCTTTAGGAACGATCTTTTTCAATAACCTTACAAATAATAAATGCGTTTAAACTGCTTAATATTTAACTATATAAAATTATGTACGTATTGAAATTTATTGTGAAAGGAATCACGATCAGAAACTCCATGTCCGCGCCATTCTTTAAAGAACTGATAAGTGAGTGAAGCTTTTACTTATACGTGCTACTTACAATTTTTATACATTAACTGATTATTAAATATAACATAAACAGTATTTCCTACTTTGATACCATTGATGTGAGCTCAGTTTTGTGCGAGTTAAAATGATATACTTATATGTACTTCTTAAAAGTTTACATGCAATATACCGGATGTTTTGCCTATCCCCTTTCTAAATACAACAAATGGGAGATTTATCACCCACTAAACGAATATTAAAACAGACGAAAAAGTAAGTAAAACAAAACTAACGGCTACTAACAAATAAATGACTAAGAACATCAAAACAAAACACTAAAATTTTATTTTTATAATCATTCAAGATAATTTCAACCGCAAACGATGAAGTCGATAGTTTCAGATTTCTTTGAAAATATTATGTTGCTTTTCATGTAGAGACAATGCCACTAGCTCTCTCTCACTGCCCAGTATATCTGCATTATTACAGCCGGCGTTCTCTTAGAATGTACCCAGTTACTTTAATCATTGTTCTCGGGAAGTTATTTACAGCCCTGGATCACGGAGGGGCTTATTACAATTTCAACAAGTCTTCTTTATGTGTTTTATCTATAAATGTTTAATAAGCATGCTAGTTGGACCGCTCCTACCTAATAACCAAGGGTATTTGCTATTAGACTATGTAACCCTCGCTCGAAGGATAATTGTCTATATAGCTCCCTCATACTTGTGTATGGTATAAATAATTAATATTAAGGACACCAACGTTCGTGATTTGCTTATTAACACAATATTAAACATACCCCTTGGCAGGAAATATTACCAGCACTTTATCTTATCCTATCTTTAATTGATTAATTAGAAGATTTCTCGGATCGCCGACAGAGACCTCCAATAAATCCCAAGCCATGATGTGATTGTCTGTGTCACTGATTCCCAACTCGCTTCCTCCCGTGGGGTCGGGGAATGCATGGGAACCGCTAGGGGGACCCGGGGGTAGGGTGTTCAGATTATACTGGCACAGTACAACACACATTTTTGTTTCATGAGTTTACTCATCATTGTTTAAAACAACATTGTTTGACAAATTGACAACAAATCCGAAGTGTTCTGAAGGACATCTGTGAGGCAGTCCAACTTTACTTGATGTGAACTGTTGCGATAAGGACAAAATGCGTTTTGAATTATTAATTCATAAATTCTGTCAATAATCTGTCAGTGTTGCGTCACGAAACCTACTTATTTGCGTTTACGTTAAGAACCACATTGTCTCGAACATAGATAAGATATGTATTACCTTCATTCTCCTTTCTATAAAATACAAATGACACATCATTTATACATGTATTCCACGACGAAAGATCGAGCAAAGAACCAACAAAACACTTTTAGTTCCATGCCAATGAATTATTACTATGACGATAGATATAATCAATAATAATATAATGACACAATACATATAGTTTCAGTATTATCGTTGCATTCATGCTGAAGGGAAAGATCTCCAGTTACACGTACCTATGTTTATTTCACTTTGTTTACTAACAAGATATCTCTAGAAAATCACCAAAATGACAAAACTTATGTACCTCAAGATG